CATACATACATAAACACTCACGCCTGTCACCCAGAGGGGTAGGCAGAGACTACAGACTTCCATTTGGCACGATCCTGACACACCTCTCTCGCCTCCTTCACATCTATACACCTCCGCATATATGCTCGTCGGTTAAGGGTACTCCTAATTTGGCCCGTTTTCAATAAATTGCCAATTTGGTCGATAAATTTTCGCCTAGGACGTCCCTTTCCGACTCTGCCATTCACTTCTGCAACATAAATTTTCTTTGTCACTCTTTCCTCATTCATTCTTTCCACATGACCAAACCACCGAAGCATTCCTTTCTTAATCCTGGTCACAACATCATCTTGCAAACCACACTCTTCTCTTATTACACAATTTCTTACCCTGTCATTAAGATTCAGCCTTAACATACTCCTTAACGACTGCATTTCTACTGCGTTCATTCTACTGTCGTGCTTCTTCTGCCACACCCAACTTTCACTACCATACGTTAAAGTAGGGACCAACACAGCATTGTGAATTGCCATACGTGCCTTTTTCGACACATTTTGACTCTTCACAATAGAGTGCAAGGCCCCATTTACTCTATTTCCCGCATTCTCTCGTCGTTCTATATCCTTATCATATCTCCCATCCCTGCTAAATACGCAGCCCAAATATACAAACTCATCTACTTGCTCGATCAACTCCCCTTCTATTCTTATTTCACAAATCGTTTTACTTTCTTCTCTTTCAAAAACCATAACCTTCGTCTTACTTGCGTTCACTTTCATACCCATTTCTTTTAATGATCTGTTCATTAATGTAACCATCATTTGCAACTCGGCCGCCGACGACGCAAGGATAACTTGATCATCGGCGTACAAAAGGCATTTGACGGTTAACTCACCCATTCTTAATCCGCATTCTTCAACTTTCAAATTTCGCAAACAACTGTCCATAAATAGGTTGAACAGCCACGGGGAAGCCACACAGCCCTGTCTGACACCTTTATGGATGTCAAACCAGTCCGAGTAGACCCCGTTGATCCTAACACAAGCACTAGAGTCCCTATAAAGGGACTCCAATGCCTGTATCAAGCCAGCGCCCAACCCAAATGAGTTCAGTGTTTGCCATAGCACATCCCTATTCACTCTGTCATAGGTCTTTTCCAAGTCCATGAACGCACAAAAAACCTATTGGTTTTTGGCCAAAAACTTCTCCGCGATCATGCGCATGGAAAAGACTTGATCTGTACATCCCATTTCCTTTCTAAATCCCGCTTGCACATACCAAATTTTTCCATCAGTTTCTTTCATGACCCTTTCAATCAGTACCTTAGCATACAGTTTTCCCAAAATGCTAAGAAGGCTGATGCCACGGTAGTTTTTACAGTCCTGCTTCGATCCTTTTCCTTTATATACTGGGACTATCACGGCTTTGCACCAGTCTACCGGTACCCGCTTCTGTTCCTAGCATAAATTAAACAAGGTGTGCAGCAGGCCTGCCACCACTTCCTCTCCAGCCCTTAGCATTTCGAGTGAAACTCTATCGTATCCGGCAGCCTTACCTGCTTTCATGCTTTTCATTGCTTTCATTATTTCACCTATGCTTATCTCGCCACCTCTTTCCTCTTCTTTCGGAATTTCTACTTCACTTAGTACACACGTTGCCTCCTCACTCATAAACACGCTTTCAAAATATTCCTTCCATCTCTTTAAACTCAAAACTTCATCATTCAGAATATAGCCATTCTCGTCTCTTATAGCATTCATCATAGGCTGTTTTGAATGTCCCCTGGCAGTTCTTACAAGTTTCCAAAACATTTTAATATTTGCCTGGAAATTATCCGATATTCTTCTATCATTCTTAACCGTTTTTTCTTGCTTTTTTCTTTCAACTACTTCTTTTACTCTCTTATTAAGATGTCTAAAGACTGCCCTTTTTCTTTCAATATCATCATTCGTACCACTAGAATTACCAGCCTTTGTTGCTAGTAAATCTAGCCACGCTCTCTTCTTTGCTTCAACTTCCATACGTACCTCATCATCCCACCATAACGTATTTTTTTTCCTTTCATTCTTTCTCTTACTAACACCACATACTTCGGTAGCTGCATCCACTAAACCTTTCTTTACATTTTGCCATACATTCTCCAAGTCTAACTCCTTCATACGTAATTCATCCAAACCACTTATATTTTCTTTCAGTCTACATTTGAACTTGTTTTTCTCACCTTCATCTTGTAACCTTTCTGTTCTAATACGCTGTAACGCAGTGGTAGACACAGATGATCGATGGCGCCAACGCCTGAATAGACCATTAATTCGGCATAAAACCAAATAATGATCCGTTCCTAGTTAGAACCCCGGTAAACCCTTGTATCCACCACTGCGCCCCTAAATCTTTCATCCACAATTATTAAATCTATCATGTTTCTATCGCCACCTCTTTCCCAAGTATACATGTGAATCTTCTTGTGGCGAAAGCAAGTGTTCGTCACAAAAAGATTCTTTTCCATACATACGGTGAGGAGACTTTCACCATTCTCATTTATACTTTCATCACCAAACGTTCCCAATATCCTTTCATAACCAAGCCTCCTCACCCCAACCCTTCCATTAAAATCTCCTAGCATAATAATATTTTCATTTCCCTTACACTTCATTAACACCATCCTTACCATTTCCCAAAACTGCTCTCGGATATAAGTGGGTTTAGACATGTCTGGGGCGTAGATCCCTAACACAAACAACTTCTTTAAGCCCACTTTCATTCGTATCCATAGCAGTCTTGGGCTTACACATTCATACTCTTTCACACATTGGCCCATTCGTTCTGAAAGGATGATACCTACTCCCTGGCATGCCCGCTCGATCTCGTCTACACCAGACCAGTATGCGGTATACATGCCATGTGTAGTGACATCCTTCCCCTTCCTTTTCGTCTCATTTACGCATAACACATCTATTCCTCTATCATACATCATATCGCATACTTCATCCATTTTATCATTCATTGCCCCACATACATTCAACGTAGCCAGACGGGCCTCTGCAATCCACTTTTCGCCTCTCCCGGAGATTCTTCGCACCCCTGCCCCATTAAAGGGGCGCCGGGAACTCGGGCCATTTCTTTTATATGGTTCCTCATGGTGCGGATAAAGGGACCTCTACCACGGCGTGGAGCCAAGTCTGTGCTATCGGCTTGTCGCTCATTTAGCACCACACGGGGGACACGTGTAGGGCGGGCCTAGGAATAGGTGGTCAAAGCCTACGGACGCGAGCGACTTGAGATATTAGATATATTATGAGAAAAGAGTTGAGATATTAGATATATTATGAGAAGATGATTTGATAACATTTTTTATTCATGTAGCTAATTATAGTTTTATGTTCTAACCTTTTCTTTTATTCAAATATCAATAATAATAGAAAAAAAAAACACGTTTGAACTGAATTTTGGATAGTTTTAAAAAAATCTATGCCTCCCGCATTCGACACTAGCGGTCAATCATAGACGACTTTGGTCTGTTTGACGTAGTATTTGCTTAGATAAAAATCCATTTTTTTAATTCAATGTTTCTTAGTACTTGTGGCTCTAGGACACTTGTTTTTTGTTCTTGTTACTTGAAAACGAGACGCGATATTATGAAACTGATTTGTTCTGTCAACAAATACAATACAACTGCCTATAATAGACGTCAGGTATACCTCAATCTCTGAAAACTAAAGTGTACAACCAGTGCGTGTTGCCAGTGATGACTTACGGATCAGAGACGTGGTCCTTCACTGCTGGCCGTATGAGGACGCTCAAGGTCGCTCAGCGAGCTATGGAGAGGGCTATGCTCGGAGTTTCTCTGCGTGATAGACTCAGAAATGAGGATATCCGCAGTAAAACCAGAGTGACCGACATAGCCCAACGGATTAGTAAGCTGAAGTGGCAATGGGCCCGCCATATAGCTCGAAGAACCGATAACCGATGGGGAAGAAAGGTTCTCGAGTGGCAGCCTCGTACCGGTAGGCGTAGTGTAGGGCGACCCCCCACTAGATGGAGTGACGACCTGGTAAGACATGCAGGAAGTCGATGGATGCAGGTGGCTTAGGACCGTGCTTTGTGGCATTACTTGGGGGAGGCCTATATTCAGCAGTGGACTTGTGAAGGGCTGTAATGATGATGATGATGATGATCATAGACTTAAGAAGTCATGTCACTAAGGCTTCTTCGTTTTTAATAAAAACTGAAACACTAGTAAACTACAAAAAAGTTTTTACATAATTGCACAGGCGTTCCTCTCTGACGAAATAAGTTAGATAAAAAAGGTTTTATGTATTCTTGTAAAGGCGTGAAATACCGAGCTCGGCGATAGGAAGCAGCATCAAAGATGCTAAACTTCTCTGCTACTGCGAACGTTAATTCGCCTACCATGCGTCTAGACCAGGCGCCGGCAAGATCAAATTCTGAATTATAAACACAGGCTAGATGGGAAACTAATCAAACCATATCAGTTGTAGGTACTTGTAAAGGTTAACTACGCAACTTAAAATAGAATAAGTACTAAGTTCAATTCTATGTGGCTTAAAAATATTATTTTAATTAATAAAGATACATACATATACCTTATCTACGTATTGATTTATATTTTTATTATTTATGTTTATTATTTTTTTATTATCTACGTATATACTTGGTATGCAATAAATGACAATATTTGGCGGTCCGAGATTCGACCTTTCGCGGTCCGCCTGTTGCAGACCGATGGTCTAGACCAAGCGTTAAGACAAATCCTACCTACAACGGGAGTGGAATGGAAGAAAGCTGTTGTGAATGGTGCGATAAGAAGTCGCCCTCGCGGTGATAATAGGCAGTCAACGGCAATGCCCAATGCAAAAAAAAGCAAGGAAATGTAAGTCTCAATCCGTGTTCGCGGATACAAATGTCTTCGAAATGTTTACTGACGTGAAATGGAACGGTGAATTTGTCTAACGACAAATAATATACAAATTAAGTGTAATGTGTTGCACAAATTTATTTAATTAATCTTCAAGATCCTTCAGCACACTCTCAATATACCGAGACAATTTAATCATTGGATTGACAATTTCATGCAGACGGCAACAATTACAGTTATTCCGAGAACGCGAATGTTCATGCAGCAGCCATGCGTTAGATGATGCAGTACTATCGGTATTTTTTAACGTAGCGAAGCTAGTAACACTGTGCCATGGCTCAAACAAAATTCTATGTTCATTCGTATACAATCGATTTTCTAAAATACGTTGTGATTTTCTTTTATAATAGTTTATTTTCTGTTGCTGATTGCTTTTCGATTTGGTTTCCCGTTTTCGCCGTATCTGTGAAATAATTAAGTATTGTATGAATTGATTTTGTAACTTATTGTAAGTAGTGTCTTTCACCTGAACGCGATGTAATCTCCTAATTGACGGACGAAGTTCTGGCGTGTTATTTTTTGTTCTTATTACCGTTAGAAAGTGTAACAAAAAAGACTGATGAAGTCAAAAAACGAAAAAGCACGAAAAATGGGCAACAACTTTAATCAATACGTATGATCTATACAAATAAATAAAATTGAATGTCTGTTTGTAATGTCAAAATATCAGCTGTAGCATATGATACCTACGGTACTTATTACATATGAGAAACAATTTTTAAAATATTTGTCTGGCTGTTTGCTCTGGCTAATCTCCGAAATGGCTCGACCGATTTTGGTAGGACTTAGACTGGCCGATAGCTTATGTTATAAGCAGTAACTTAAGCTGCTTTTATTTTAGAGAAAGAATTAGGATTCCGCACAGATAAATATATATAATATGAGCCGTGGTAGCTCAGTGGTTAACGCTCGATGTAAATATAACAGAACGCGAGTAACCCGGGTTCGATCCCCGCCGGCACCAATGAAATTGTTAATTGCAATTTTAAGTGCTGATTTACCACGTGCTCGGCGGTGAAGGAAAACATCGTGAGGAAACCTGCATGTCTGAGGAATAAGAGAAAAAAAATATTTCGAAGACATGTGAAGTTCGTCAACACGCATTTGGGCAGCGCGGCGGACACTTCCTTGCCCTAAACCCTCTCAGAAATGAGGGGAGGCCTGAGCCCAGCAGTGGGACGTATATAGGCTGTAACTTTACTTTTTTTTACAGTAAATATAATCGAATTGTAACAGATTTTATGCGGGCGAAGTTGCGGGGAACAGCTAGTACAAAATAAAATAACATAATCAGATAGTAAAATAAAGTAAAGACAAGAGTAAATTTCCATTTATTATAAGGGTAACCAACGAGCACACAGATTGAGGAAAAGTGGACACTGTCACCCACAAATATGAGTCACAATGTTCACTTCTCCATTAAGCAACCTGATACAGATGTCCGAAGGCTAACTTTCGTCACTGACCACGTAAAGTAGCAGTGAAATGCATCAGCATTATTCTGTTAGAGCCTCTCCCGGTTGACCCATTTTTACTGCATCCAAAACAGAACCTCCAGAAAGTACGTATATAAATTATCCTGCAACTTATATAAGGTTTACTTACAACTAAAGCGTGTCTCTACTATATACATATATCATACAATCAATCATTACAGCTTATGAAAAGTCCGTTGTTAAACGTAGGTCTGCCATAAGTAGTTAATAACTTTCGCTTTTTTTTCTTAGAACATAAAATACTTTAGAAAACCTGCTTAAAAATTAAATTTGTTAATCCCATATGATAATTATTGTGATGACGATAATCAGTTTTTCAAATTACTTAGTCTTAAATTCCATGTTTGGTGTTAAAGGTACTCGTATACGCATGAGTTAAAGTCCTTAAAAGGGATGTACACAGACTTTTAAATCAACGAGACGGAAATGTCATTGGCATTGCTGAAAATTAAAAGTAAAAAATATTACCTTATTTTTGACAAATTTTTGAGATGCTATAGGGTTTTTTGATCGAATATATACGGTTCTCGTGTGACTGCTAACATCCGATTCATCAGTTGCATACTTTATTGGCGAAACGTAGGGCTGCAAAATATCACCTAAAATTTTACCAGTTATAAATACTGGCTGATAATTTAAATTTATTAAGGCATAAGAGTAAATAAACGAGCACACAGACCACCTGATTGTAAGTGAACGCAGTGGCCTATATACATCCACATCTATCCTCCACAATGAATAACAATGCAGATGCGGTATCACTACTGACGTAAGATGGAATGCCTCGTTTTCAGTTGAAAGGATATCAGGTATCGCTGTAGTGAACACTCCATACAAAACACAGCAGCATTAAGTTAGGTTCTATTTTATGATGGTATTCTGTGAGGGTGTGGTCCATACCCATGTTCGAACAGGGACCCACGAACGGAGGAACCACGTACGCTATGTTTCATGCTAGAACCATAATATGACTCTACCACATACAAAACACATTGGCAACTCCTAGTTATACATAATCTTATCTCTATGTTTGGATATCAAAATGAATGTTTACATATTGTACCTACCAATAAAATGCTTTTGAAAAATTACAACACACAACTTACAAGTAAGTACAAGAATAAATGTTGCAAACTATACTTACACATTTGATTAAGCCCTTTGCAGAGAATATCGCAAGCTAACACTGCAGTCATGAATTGAGAACTGCAATCGTGATAACAGTTACCTGGAAATAATCACTACTTAAGAAAACTAAGTACTGCTTACCTACTTTATAAAATATATAGAAAGTTAAAGTAACAAACAAATAACCATTGTTCAACTGTATTACTTGATATGCAAAAGAAACCAATTTAGACCACATCGCGTGTAAATTGTTATCATATTCCTTCGTCTTTTTACATGCTTTGCATTGTTTATCCATTTCATCACTGCAATCTTCTTTGGTTTTGTCCTCAATTGACTGTTTTGCTAATTTATCCAAGCAATGTATGTTTTCTTCCATGGTTTTCACTTGTAAATTAATATTTTCAGCGATATTCTTTTTGACCAACTCTAATTCCGCTTTAAGTTCCGAAGTGTTGTCTTCCGTCTCTTTTTTTGCAATATTTCTATCGCCTCCTTCACTATTGGTTATGATAGCTTTGTTATCGTTATAATTTTCATCATCATACATAGGTTTATCAAAAGGAAGGCTGTATGTCTTGTCCGAGTTTACAATAGTGACGTCGGATTTATTGATATCGCAAAAGCCTAAGAAATCGTCGGTGCTAGCACTTAATGGTGTTCTGGCATCATTGAAAATGTTTTTCTGTAAGCGAGATTCACTGTGGCATGGGCTGAATTGGTTACAAAGTTTTCGTCTTGCGCGTCGCTCCTGCAGTTCCTGGTGTAATATTTTCTCCTGGCATGACCTATCTTTTAACATTTGAACTGCTTTTAATTGATTCTTTTCTAAAGATTTATATTGTTCATACAAGTACCAAGATCGAACCCGCTTGGCCTTTTTAATTGGATTTGAATCTAAAAATATACATTCAATAGGTTTAAAGTTTCTTGTGTTTACAAAATTAAAATAAACTTGAAATAATCAAAACTTTATATTTCAAACAATTTTCTATAAGTCTAACAAGGAACGAGTAACACCAAGCAACAACAAGTACAACCAAGCCCCAGTACCAACAAGTGCAGTACGCAAGGATGCTGCTATTCTGATGGAGTGACGACTTGATAAGGCAGGTGGTTCACCAAGTCAAAAGAAGCCCTTTGGTTATCAGTGTATGAAAAAACTAAAACGGCATTATAAATAGACCCTACATAAAATTATAATCAGTAGCTACGCCGACTTTCCATTATTATCTTATAACGCATATGCTTTACATTTACACAATTCTTTATTATTAGTCCTAGTTTTATTATCTTATTAGGCTATAGATTCAAAATCAAATACACTTACGGCGTATATCTACGGTATCCATCAAAAATTTGGTTTTCTGAGTACTTTCTTCGCACAAAGATTTATCGAATTACATTAAAAGGCTTTAATTTAGTACAGAATTTTATTTCGAAAACTAATTTTTCGTAAAAATTTGATCTTGATTTGCCATGAGGTAAGCAATTTTTCTTACGAAAAACAAAAGATTTGATGCCAGAAAACTTATTTATTTCAAATGAGGTCGTATATGTTGCTGCAGAAGTAACCGTTCGTTACTTACGTTGCGTCGTAACCGTACCTTAAGTCGCAACGTCCCTTTCTTGATAAAAGTTGTTGGATACATCCTGCCTATATATATATATATATATATATATATATATATATATATATATATATATATATATATATATATATATATGAATTACGTGTCATTTTGCTTGTCCGCGATGGACTCCTAAACTACTTAACCGATTTTAATCAAATTTGCACACCGGGAGCAGATTTTTCCCAGACCCACAATTATTTTTTTTGGAAATTTAAGGTATTTTAATAGGACATGACAAAGTGTCGTCGAAATGGGCAAAACAACGTCTGCCTGGAAAGCTACTGTATATATATCTTAATATACAGGGTGTTAGTGTAAACACAGTTGTCCTTGAAACCAGTGGTTTGGTTTCACTTATAGAATGTAATTTCAATGAAAAATAACAACATTTTTTTTTAGTCAAATCTCAATTTTTTCTTACAATTATTTCACCCTAGGCAAGTAGGGATATACCCACAGAATTCGCAACAAAAAACTCAACATATCGTAGGTAGCGGCAGCGACTCGCGGTCAAGGCCAATGTCACTGTGTCAGTGTGTCAGTCACCTTCGCTGCGTCGGTACGGAATGTACGTGTTAATTTGATTTAAAATCGCGCCGCACAGTGCCGACATTCTACGTCGCTTTATGTTATTATGTCCTACATAAACGTGCAGTGGAAATGTGCCTCTTCGTTCACTGAGAAACCTCTACTACCAACATGACGGTGCCCCTGCACATTTTCAGCTGCAAATCAGGGCTATGCTGGTTGAGGAGTTTCCTGGGCGATGAACCGACCTTACCCCGCTGGACTTTTATCTTTGGGGAGAAGTGAAGCGCTGAGTGTATGCAACTAAGTTCCGTAATACGTCCGAACTCAAAAGGCGAATTCTTAGTGTATTTAGAGAAATGACACTGTTGTGCTTTTACGATTAATGTAAAAGCTGATCAAAATGGAATTCATTTACGAGGATTTTATTTAATAGGTAAGTGTAAATAACCAATCAATCAGGCTACACATCAAGCTGTACAAATCCTTTGTCTTGGCCTCGCTTTGTATGATCTTTCCGTACAATGAACGGTCAGCTTATGCTTCAAATGCCCTTTGCGTTCCAGGGCCGCGGTACGGTATACGGTAAATACGCCAAAAATTCTACATAATGATTTACTATTTACTATTATTAATCTTTAATTTTCTTTGTTGTTAAATCTAACTTACATTAATTTGGACTCGTCACGCAACACAAAGGGTAGGAATTTTTATCTGTCCTAAGCAAGTGTGAAAGTATGAAGGAAAAGTTTCATGATAGGTTATGTGTACCATTGTGTTTATATTAAAATGTTGTGTAGGTAGGAAGGGCGGGCGGTGATCTTTACAGTGATTACGTCACTCGAGCGCATAGGGTATCCATGAATTTACGGACGGTGTCGGACAGAAACTTTTTTAATTTTATAAAAGAAAATAGCGTTTTTTTTTTAAATCGGATAAATATTTTTATATTAAACCTATGGTTTCAGTGACAACTGTGTTTACACTTACACACTGTATATAAATTACGTGTCACGTTGTTTGTCCGCGATAGACTCCCTAAACTACTTAACCGATTTTAATCAAATTTGCACACCGTGTGCAGTTTGATCCAACTTGTAAGATAGGATAGTTTTTCTGCCCATGGGTGACCCACTTTATTGCGAATTTAAGGGTTTTTAATAGGACCAAAGGGTCGTTGAAAAGAGCAGAACAACGTCTGCCTGGAAAGCTAATAGTATATACATATATATATATATATATATATATATATATATATATATATATATATATATATATATATATATATAGATCTTTTTACGGTAAATGTTGATCGGACGCGACTTCACGCGAGCACTTTGTTGATCCGAAAACGCATGTTGATCCGGCGCCTTTTGTTGATCCAATATGCATCTCTGGTAACTACTGTGGCTCCGACCGGATCTATAACTGCACTCACGAGACTGTTTGCTAGCGTTTGCCGATGTTGATCCGATATACAAATCCACCTTGCGATGGTTGCGGAAAATGTTGATCCGATTTAAATGAGCCAATCAGAGTACAGCAAACGATAAGATAAACGATCAGATTGGCTGCAAGCAGCCGCGACGTTGCCGTTTCGTATCTTTGGCGGTACAAGCTACAGATTAAATGCGTGTACAATACAATAATGCATTCAGAGTGCTGTTGGGTCTGCCTAGTTATTGTAATGCATCGCGTATGTTCGCGGATACGCGTGTGGATTATTTCTACACCACCATGCGTAAACGATGCACATCCCCGGTGCGCAGGGTGCAGGCCAGTTCAAATGGTATCCTGAGGGCATTTTCTGACAGGTTTGAAGTCAGTACCTGAACCATTGTCATATGGTGCACGTGCTGACTAATCGGGCCTGTCTTAGATATAGTTTTAAAATTAGGTAAATAGTTTTAAGTTTTACTAATATTAGTTTTAAGATTTGTATTATTACTAACATCTATGATCCTTGTGGTCGAAATAAACGACTTTTTTTAACGTATAACTCAACAACACTTAACTTAGTTATGATGAGTTACCTTACCTTACCTCCGGACTTGCTGAAGTAACCTGAAGGTGTACTTTGGTAACTAATACTGTCACACCTGGACTATTAGAACTAGGTATGCCGAGTTTGGGTTTGTTTTGTTAGTTATGATGAAACAGTCACAAAATAAAAGTTCTTTTCACTTTGTCTCTAGTACCAATAGGTAGGCAAGCTGATATTCGGAAAAATGAAGAACCTCGTATGAACATCTTTATGGGCAGTATCGATATCCACTTACTAGCCACACTGTTTTTCGCTGTAACCAACTGCCTTTATGTGAGCCTCACTTGCCCTCACGCGGTACCCACTTTACTGCACTCCAGTGCACCCACCACCACCTCTGCCACCTACGCCTCCACATCTACCACTGTACCCTATTCTAAGCCTTCGTTCTCCACCTCCGTTACCTCCGCCTCCACCATATACTCTGCTCCCACCGCCTTAACAATAAACTCCGCTCCCTCCGCCGCCACTAACACGCGCCGTCACTATTCTCTCCGCCTCCAACACAATCTATGGTCGATCCACTTCTGACCCCGCTCTCCCCGTTTCCACTATCTCCGACTGCACCACAAATTCCACTTCTCCGCCTTCACCACAAACTACGCTGCATTCACCTCCGTCTCGTCTCCGTTCTCCGCCTCTGTTTTCTGCACACACACACACACACACACACACGCACGCACGCACACACACACACACATACACACACACACACACACACACACACACACACACACACACACTACAAACAAACACCCGAGACCCGCACGCACATGCACACGCACACACACGCGCGCTCGCGCGCACTCACATAAACACACGCACACACACGCACACATACACACACACGTACACACAAACAGACACAAACACACATACACACACACGCGCGCGTGCACACATACAAATACGCGCGCGCGCTCGCACACACACATCCGCACATACACTTACACGCACGCGCGCGCACGAAAGCACACACGCACGCACACACAAACAACAGTTAACCCACGCCGGCACACACTCACACATACATACACACGCACACATACGAACTAAGCCATACACCCGCACGCATTCAAACACACACACACACACACACACAGCACACGCACGCACACACATACACACGCGCGGTTCGCGCACGCGCATACACAAGCAGGCAACCGCACAAACACACCTACACTGCTGCACAAACACACACATACTCAAAAAAACTCAACAGTGCACACACTCACATACACGCGCACGCACATGCGTTCACTCGAACACACATGAACGCACATACACCCACACGCATGCGCACACACAAACTCGCACACACACGCATAAAAACACACACGCGAGCACTAAATGTCACCCCCCACCCTTAAACACACACACACATACTCGAGTGATAAATTAATTTTTAATAAAGTACTATCATTTTCTAATTGATCTATGAAAAATGAACAAAATAACACAAATTCACTCACACGATAATAAAAACTCGAACAAACGTCTTTCCTCAATAAAACCTGCCAAATTTTGATCCACAAACTCAGCAGATAAAGCATTTTCTTACCGTATAACTATAACGAAGTAGCCTACTGGGTTCTCTGTCACACACAGAACGCGACGTTGCCGCTTCGTGTTCGAGTACCTATTCGTCAATTATGGCTCCGGATCCACTTAGTCTAAGTAAATGTCGCATATAAATTAAATATACTCTGGATCTAAAAAATCACATTCAGTATGCTTTTTTCGACCGTTGATAGATCAACAAATGTTGGTCAAATCGCTGACGAGTATATTGAAAACCTGTTAGTGCAGATCCACCGACGTCACATGGGCATCAAGGATGGATCAAAGTATATCAGTTTGTGCGACGAGGAGCTGAGCAAACACGTCAAATAGGTGGATCAACAATTGTTCTAACTTCTCACTGGATCAACATTTACCGTGAAAGGATGATTATATATATATATATATATATATATTTATATATATATATACTGGGCGACTGTTTTTACCGTCTCGAAAAAATAGTTACGACAGATGAACGGAGTAGACGCCTATGGCACTTATATTTTACAATAAATAAAAACAAAAATTTTGAATTGAATAAATAAATCAATCTAAAATCTATCGAAATTTAAGTCATATTCACCATACTTTATAAAACTTGTTCTACCAAAAGCGGGCTACAAACGAGATGATATCGGTGGCGATCTAAGGTGAGGTGGTGGGGATGCCTCCTAGATTGCCTCTAAATCGCGTCATGTGTAGGGCCATCCTAAGTCGTGGCCGATAACGCCTCCTTAATTGACTGGCGGGAGCAAAAACGCAGCCGATGCTTCCCAGATCGGGGCCCCACCCTCTCCATACTGAGTGTGTGTAGGCTGTAGGCCCGATTTCTTTTGACAGTCACTGCCGGCAGCCCTCGCGGAAGGACGTTAACAAAACAGTGAACTCTTTGCAAGATGGTTTCCGAGGAAGAACGGGACGCATATATTGAAATTATAGATATTTGTAAACAAAATCCACATATGTGGGAATTGGGATAAACAAAATAAAAATTATTTTAATAATGATACAAGGAACGCCACACTAAATATGATGTTCCAGTCGTATTTAAAATACAACAAGGATATTGACTTCCCAACTTCTAAGAAAAAGTGTGTGTGTGCGAGCGCGTGTGTGTGTGTGTGCGCGCGTGTGTGTGTGTGCGCTTGTGTGCACGCATGTGTGCGTGTGTGCGTGAGTGCGTGTGTGCGTGAGTGCGTGAGTGCGTGCGTGAGTGCGTGAGTGCGTGAGTGCGTGCGTGCGTGAGTGCGGGAGTGCGTGAGTGCGTGAGTGCGTGAGTGCGTGCGTGCGTGAGTGCGTGCGTGCGTGCGTGCGTGCGTGCGTGGGTGAGTGCGTGCGTGCGTGAGTGCGTGCGTGCGTGAGTGCGTGCGTGCTTGCATGCGTGCGTGAGTGCGTGCGTACGTGAGTGCGTGCGTGCGTGAGTGCGTGCGTGAGAGAGTGCGTGCGTGCGTGTGTGTGGGTGCGTGGGTGCGTGCGTGCGTGCGTGCGTGTGTGTGTGCGTGTGTGTGTGTTAGTATTTTTTTTATTAAATGTGTAGTACTTTTTGTTGATACTCGTACATCAGGGTTTTCTTAAAATTTCAAACAAACATTTACACCTAAAAGTAGAAAAATAGGGGATTTTTTTTAAATTATCTATACAGATCTATATAGATGACATTTTAGTTGTTACCTTGAGTTTTAGAAATTCTTTGTTCCATTCAAAAGGGCCCGAAAATTAAAATTTTACATTTTTTGTGTCACATTTCTTACTTATGCTCGCCACAGACAAATACTACGACTGTGTCTGGGGTCTGGGCTTCAATTTCGTAACGATCTTCATTTTGTATTTATTTACTATCTTAATTACAATTAAGTAGTGTTAAAGAAATGGTGCATGACTCTATGTTGTAGCTAATTTCAGGAACTATGAAATCGACGTAAAAGGAAGGTTGCGAAGTAATTTATATTTTTATGTAGACTATGAAATCATCAAAAAGTAATGAGATAATCCGCAAAATATTTTAATTTAATTCTCTCTCTAACTACAAAAATCAATTTAAAGAAGTCGTCCCAAATAGATAAATGAATAATAAATAATATATATACATCGCGAAGGGAGAATAATATCATAATTTTATTAGCATGCAAAATAAAGGTCATAAGCTTCACAAAATTCAATCACAGTCCATAGTGAGCAAACAGTGTTTCAGCATAACGAAAAAAGTCCAGATAATGAATACAAACTAAAAACTATTACAAGTCAAGTTTAATAGAAGAAAATAGCTCCTCCAGCCGGTTGTCTACTATAACCAGGGTTTGTCTGCGAGGAATGAACCCCGGAGTTCATCAGCTTAACACTGAATGGAGACTTCCTCTCTGTGATACCACCACGTTTCATAGGATGACCCTGAGGGCAAAAAAACGTAATCGTTAACAAAATAAAACAGCTTACCAACTTATAGTACACTATAAATGGACGACAGACACGGTCAGTTCAACTGATCAGTTCAAACTAAGACTGTTGATATTTTTTAAATTATTGGATTTTCGATATATCGATATATAATATAAAATATATATAAATATTGATGTATTTATAATTATCGATATATCTAAAATCCAATATTTTAAAAAATATCAACAGTCCTAGTTTGAACTGATCAGTTGAACTGACCGTGTGTGTCGTCCATAATAACAATTTAACAAGACATTAATGTGGTTGTGATTTGGTCTGGCCGTAGTATCTACCAACTTTCCAATTGCAAAATTTTTAAGTGATTTGTTTCTCTTAAAACCAGAAATCATATAAAATTAGAGACAGTTTGGAAGCTATTCTTTTTGTCCATATAAAAACTATTGCATGGAATTTGAGAATCGGGTGTTCAATATACCTAATTACCATTACATTTCAAAAGATTAGTCTGTAATTATTGTAAATAGTGTATTAGTGTGTTTTCGACATCATCATCATTATCATTACAGCCCTTCACAAGTCCACTGCTGAACATAGGCCTCCCCCAAGTAATGCCACAAAGCAAGGTCCTGAGCCACCTGCATCCATCGACTTCCTGCATGTCTTACCAGGTCGTCACTCCATCTAGTGGGGGGGTTGCCCTACACTACGCCTACCGGTACGAGGCTGCCACTCGAGAACCTTTCTTCCCCATCGGTTATCAGTTCTTCGAGCTATATGGCCGGCCCATTGCCACTTCAGCTTACTAATCCGTTGGGATATGTCGGTCACTCTGGTTTTACTGCGGATATCCTCATTTCTGAGTCTATCACGCAGAGAAACTCCGAGCATAGCCCTCTCCATAGCTCGCTGAGCGACCTTGAGCGTCCTCATACGGCCAGCAGTGAAGGACCACGTCTCAGATCCGTAAGTCATCACTGGCAACACGCACTGGTTATAACACTTTAGTTTTCAGAGATTGAGGTATACCTGACGAGAAGATGTGTCGTAATTTCCCGAACACTGCTCAGCCGAGTTGAATCCGTCGATTGACCTCTCGGTCGAAGTAGGACTTACCTAGTCGGACTATTTGTCCCAGGTAAACGTACTCGTCAACAACTTCGAGCATAGTGCTCCCAACAACTACCGGCATAGGTGTGACAAGGACATTAAACATGATCTTTGTTTTGTCCACGTTCATCTTAAGACCTATCCGTTGGGAGACACCATTGAGGTCATTGAGCATAGTGCTAAGGTCCTCCAGCGATTCTGCCATAAGGACTATATCGTCGGCAAATCGAAGGTGAGTGATGTACTTGCCATTGATATTAATACCGTATTTTTATACAGTATACCGTACCTTTCCAGTCCAGTAGCTTGAAAACGTCTTCCAACGCAGCGGTGAAGAGTTTCGGGGATATAACATCACCCTGTCTTACACCTCTCTGCAGTTGGATAGGTTTCGATTTCTAGTTCTGTACTCGGACAGCCATCGTAGCCCTGCTGTACAAACACTTCAGCACTTCGATATACCGACAGTCAACTTGGCACCGCTGAACGGACTGTAGCACCGCCCAAATTATGACGGAATCAAAGGCTTTCTCATAGTCCACATACGCCAGGCAAAGTGGCAGATTGTACTCTTCAGTCTTCTGTACAATCTGCCGCAAGGTATGTATATGGTCTATGGTACTGAAGCCTTTTTCGGAAACCGGCTTGTTCGGGAGGCTGGAAGTCGTCGAGTCTGCGTGCGAGACGATTCGTAATGACTCTCGAAAATAGCATGTAGACGCGGCTCAGAAGGGAAATCGGTCTGTAGTTCTTCAAGAGAGCGTTGTCAAGCGTTGTCGCCTTTCTTAAAGAACAAGACCACCGTGCTTCTACTCCACGCCTCCGGAGTAGTGCCACCATGGGTGACGGAATTGAAGAGCTTCTTAAGGACTTCAAGTACCGGTGTTCCACCCGCTTTCAGAAGCTCCGCTGTAATTCCATCCTCGCCCGGGGCTTTGCCGTTTTTAAGGTGGTCGAGAGCCATTCTAATCTCGCTTAGACTGACGTCCGGGATATCATCGGAATAGTGTCGGATAAGACTTGCTCTTGGATCGTTACTCACACTTGCGTATGGCTCCAACGATGATGTGTACAGCTGCCCAGAGAACCTCTCAATCTCACTCAGAATCTCAGGTGTCCCGGAATCGATGTTGCCACACTCAGTCTTCAGCTTTGACAGTTGGCTCTTTCTGGCAGACAGATCTCTGGCCAAGACTTTGGAGCCCTGGTTCCGCTCGATCGCTTCTATAATACGAGCAGTAATAAAGTTGCGTAAGTCTCGCCGCATGCATTTGGAGATCTGTCTGTTCAGTTGTCAAATCTGTTGACGATTGCAGCCTCATCTCCCGTCTAACAGCCATGAGATTAAGAGTGTGATCGGAGAGTTTTTGTGTTCTTCTGCGGCGGGTCTTGCAGAACTTAGCTCCAACCGCATGGACAGTTTCCACGAGCTTGTCATTCATATCGTCCACTACATTGCAATCTTGTAGGCACTGAAAGCGTAACTCGAGCTGAAAGTTTTCGGGATTCTGGATTAGAGCACGAGGGGGACGGAGCGTTGACTTCATTAGACGAGACCTCTCCAACTTAACGTTTAGGTTCAGTGTGCCTCTAACCATTCGGTTATCGCTGCCAGTTTTCACCCTTGCGATCACTGAGATATCACTGAACAGTTGGCATCTGGTCGTCATAATGAAGTCAATCTCATTTTTTGTCGAACCGTCGGGGCTCGACCAGGTCCACTTCCTGTGGGGCCGCTTCTGGAAGAAAGAGTTCATCATAAAGAGTCCCTCTTTCTCCATAAAGTCAGCCAGCTGCTGGCCCCTACGGTTCCGTTGCCCTACTCCAAATTTTTTTCTTGTGCCTAGTTTTGCGTTGAAGTCTCCCATCAACACCGTGTAGTGGGTTTTGGAGGAACGCATGGCTCTGAAAATATCCTCATACATTTCCTCCACCTCCCTCCACCTCCTCATCGGGATGTGCCGAGGTTGGTGCGTAAACCTGTATAGGTCATACAGGTTTACGCACCAATACCATTTGGTGATTCTAAGTATCAGGTACGCGACCCTCGTCGACACACTCCCAATCTTTTACAACGTTGTTGACGAGAGACTTGTGGACGATAAATTCGACACCTCCTTGGGACAGATGGTCGCCCTCCCGGTGATAGAACAAGTTGCCGGACTCGAGGATTGCCGTGTCCTCCCCATCTCTTCGGACCTCTGATAATCCAATAATATGCCAGCGCAACTTGTCTACCTCTTCTTCCAGCTTCTACCTCTTCTTCCAGCTTCTACCTCTTCTTCCAGTTTTCGACATAGTATCATCAATTCAATGAATTCACAAGTCCACTACTGAACATAGGCCTCCCCTAAGAAATGCCACAAAGCACGGTCCTGAGACACCTACATCTGTCGACTTCCTGCATATCTTACCAGGTCGTCACTCCATCTTGTGGGAGCCTGCCCTACACTTCACCTACTGGTACGAGTAATGCGAAGGGTTTAATAATTAATATTAATATAGTAATTAATAATAACATACTAATCTATAGCGAGGATGATTAGCATGCGAGCACACGACAAACGCGAGCTAAACACACAATTTAATTACTATTTTAAATGCTTATGCCAAATTCTCAGCGTCGCGTCGGGAGAAAACAAGGAAAACTGACTATTTTTAAAAATAAAAATTTTCGAGAATTTGTTACAAAGTCCCTTAAGACACCAGGGTAGCGCAGCGGATATTTTCCTACTCCTATCCCAAGCAAATAAGAGGATGCTCGTGACCAACAGTTGTACATTTTATTTTCATTTATTTAGAGGACAGTATTCGTACACCTACGGGTTTCAGGTACCAATGGGTGGCTCTAGGATCACCTCATCTCGTTTATAAAATATAACATGAACTTCTTTGATAATAAGTGAGAAAAATACGTCTCTGGATTATGCAGGTATCCAAACACGGTTCACATTTAAATATACTAATACAAACTTATGTAATTTCTGCGTACTTACTAATGGTATAACGACAGGCGGTTGCTTGTCGAACGTGTTCCTGAGTCGTCTCCAAGTGTCGCAACCGAGTGTTTCGCGCTGCAGATACAAATCCTCTTTGTCAGCGAAATGTTCCGTAGAATGGTTATACGTCGCAGCCAACACTATGTCTAAACTATCGTCTGGAATGCTACGGAGAAAAATGAAAGATTTTTTTTGTTATGATAGATAGTTTAGTTTTTGTTACGGCAAGATATCGTAGCACACCTTAAAGAATGTTTGATAGATAATATGACTATTTTTTATAAGATTTTTTATACTATGGATTTCGGTTTTCTGTAACATGTAACAACTGTAGCCTAAAACAAACATTTTACTTTTCTCGGCGCTACCTGTATGCCTATTTTATTGGAAAATTATTTAAGTCATGATTTACTTTATCTATATTTTGTAATTTATTATATTTAGTAATTTATTACGTACTGTATAACGTAATTTATAAATTCTGCAATATGTCCAGGCAATTACCAACAGTAATTTCATTACTTAATATATATATATACATATATATATATATATATATATATATATATATATATATATATATATATATATATATATATGCCGTAATTTAATATCCTAGCAAAATTCGTCACTTTCAAAGGTACATTCGCAATAGTTTTTTAATTTTCTTTGCTACCATAGATGTGTTAGCGAAGAACTGGGTCCAAAAACGTTACGATTGGAAGTTTGTCTTTAACTTCATTTTAAATTATTTTATTTGTATATATTTTTATAGGTAATGTTGTACTAAGTATCTTGAGTTAGTTTTTATCATGTTTCTATAAATGACTGTACACAGCCGAGGAAGAAAACTAAAATATACGAATTCCGAGTATATATCCTAGGGTGGATTCTTTAGAGTGGATAAACGGAGTAACCCATTTCAAAATCACTATTTACACGAAATTAGAGTTGGTATCTACAGCTTGTAATACTCGTTTGTCCGATTTTAAGGGTTAAAAATATAATAAATAAAAGCTTTAATTCTTTGATATATATACTAGGTAAAGCACAGACTTCAAAAAGTATTATGAGGAAATTATTTTATTCTGTTTAGTTCTTTACGCACGGTTTATACTCTTTTTTAAAGTTTAGTTTTAAAACTTACGTTCAAGCTGTAAATTGTTCACATAATCATGTTTATGCATTAAAGGCGTGTTGTTGCGGCGTAAGACTCCATTACCCAATATCGTCCCGTTGTTGTCGCAGGACTATGAGAAATGCGATAAAGTCCTCGTGGCTTCTGTATAATGGTGGTATAAACATCACGTTTACGCCACGCGTAAATTTTTAAATAGCCGAAAGGGAGCAGCGTCAAAATACTAAATGTCTGGCGCCACGACCGCCAATACGACTGCTAACCGTGGCGATTAAGGCGCTTTACACACGGAGCAACTTTAGTTGAGGCAACTATCAACTTTTAAAAGGTTTCGAAGAAAATTCGAGTTGCTATGTGTGCGCAATCCCATTTGATAATATGTAAAAAGCTAGTTGTCGGTTGCCAGTTGCTGCAATAATTGCTCCATGTGCAAAGCGCCTTAGACTTTTGCAGGCTGATTATAAACAAAAAGTTACATTGGACATGGACATACAGGGTTAGTTTGCAATCACCGGCTAAATTTGCAGACGGTTCAGAATAAGTAATATTGGCAAATGGTGAAGAAAAACTAATTTTAAAAAATCTCAAACATTCTGTCCTTTTCATCTTTTAAATTCAAAATGCGTGCATTATTTTATATGATTTTACCGCGCATGTATACATTCATTTAGGCGTCGATCTGTAGGCAAAAACGTTGTTTCCTATAAATCACATTCAATTTGAGATAATTTCAAATAAAAGTATAAGTCTTATTCACTCGAATTTTCAAGAACTGCAATAACGGTATAATCGTTATTTATATATTGAACTTAAGTTTAAAATTTGGCTAGTCTTTGAAAAATAACCCTGTACCTATATTCCAAATAACATATAATACTAATGCTATGACACTGTGGGCCGTCAGTTTGATTACCTACCGTACGGAAGAATTATTTGTATAAATTTCGAATATTATTCAGATCTTTTATGTTTATGTCCACTTTAATTTAAAATAATTTCTCAATATCTACAGAAGTACCCGAGTAAGGAATGTGGATTAAGTTTTATTTTTAAAAGCAAACGCAAATCAAACTATATGGTTATATTCATTCAATGTGGTAGAAATTACCACTTACTATAACGGATGATAAAAGCTCAATTTTCTAACACTAGCTAATGTGTGATGTGAAAAGAGCCTAGAGCCTGTTGGTACTCCGTGCTTTTCTGTCGTCGACAACACTATTTCTTTAGAGAAACGTCCTTCTTTCCTCAAATCGGGCAGTAAATTTTTATTTCTAACTTGCTTTACTCCGGACATACTGTTAAAAGTTATTTTACACGCAATTTACTTGATTAATTCATTGAAACGCTATAGCTTTACTCCGCAAACTTAAATACCTATGCTACGTCATAAGTGTTCATCAATATTTAAACCAAAATAACCTCCTCGGCAAAAAACTTAACCATGGCAACGAATGACAGGCAGGGAAGTATAGGGTACGAAATACAACGCAGTACACTGGCAAATGCAAATGACGTCATCAATTGACAACTATATTGTACTGGCGTGCCGCCGCCATATTGCGTCGGATATCCGGCCACAATAAAACAATTTTTAATTTTGTGGGTGCTGAATGAAGCATGCCAGAATTTGTTTTTATTTATTCAAATAAAAAAAATAGAAGAATCGCTGGTATCTCCATTAGGAAGATATAATGATTTTGGAGCACAAAATGACAAAATAATTCCAACACTTTTCCAATATGGCGTAAATGTAAGACGTCATATAATGTCCTATGTTTTGGAACGAATCACCAGTATAGCGTCCATTTATGACGTCATTTGCATTGGACAGTACACTGGGTTCTATTTTGGAACATACCCATAATATCATAGTGTAGAGTAATATATATATTTATTTTATATATATATATATATATATATATATATATATATATATATATATATATATATATATATATATATATTTACTTTCTAGGAATAGTGGAAGATAAGATAATCAATCAAGTATAAATGTAAAATAAAATTATTATACATAGCTGTCTACGTATATACAATTTTGTCATAAACTCAGAATATACTTACTGGCCGTAGACTAATTATTAGCGTGGCCTCGAGTGAGAAAGGACGATAACGTAGTTTAATGTTATATAATAATCTTTGTGACTTTTAAACATATTTAGATAAAATTTTCAATTGTTCTAAGAACTAAACTGAACAAGATTCACTGTGGCGGCGCTGTAGTCGCGCCGCAAGCGAAACACACCGAAGCCTAAATCACGCTATCAAAATTCCGAATCATAAACAGTATATATAGAACATCTCGGAACTATCACAAGGAGTGTTGGTCGCTCCCCGGGCAGAACACCTTGCCCGGTGAGAGATCTCCCCTTTTCCTACCACGGCCACAGTGATGACCCCGACGTGATCTGAACACGCAACCAACATCCTTCGGAAACTTCAAGCTTCATCATTGTCATAGAATACCCCACCCTACCCCCATCCTGCAAGCCATCTAGCTTCACAAGGTTCATCGCAGCACTGACATAATAATGCTTCCTGTTCCTTCAAGCTACTCTCTGCGCTATACAGTGTTCGGCACGGCTCTGAGCCTCACTGCTCGCCTCTGCTTCACGGCACTCTCGCAGATTACTTGCCTTCTTCTTGACTCACCGCAGACTACAAGGCAATTTCCTGGCACTTACTCATTCATCGACAACGAGGCTGCACTATCGACCTCCGGTCTGAGCAGATGGGTAATGTGGCGGCGCTGTCGTCGCGCCGCAAGCGAAACACACCGAAGCATAAATCACGCTATCAAAATTCCGAATCATAAACAGTATATGTAGGACATCTCCGAACTATCACATGGAGAGTTGGTTGCTCCCCGGGGAGAACACCTTGCCCGGCGGGAGATCTCTCCTTTTCATTTTACGGCCACATCACCAATCTTAAGCCCACAAAACACTTTTTTTCACTTAAAACAACTTGTAAACTTCTAAGATCGCTACGAACTGTCAAAATTGTTTAGCAAAGTGTAGATTGCTAAACAAAAAAACCGGTACGGAGAAAGGGACAAACAATCACACCGCTCTGTCTCATTTCTATGCAAGACGTATGCATAAATCTTTCTTTTTCGTGTGCGAATACGAAAGAAGGCCTCAATTTGTCTATAGGTTTCTCTGTCTACGACACTGGCGTACTATAAGCGAAACAGAAAACGTTGTCGATAAATTCATTTACTCTATGACTTAGTAAAATTAAGAATTTTTATTAATCCGGTTCACAATACTTATTTATATCAACGAAAGTTTGCGGAAGTTCCATCTGACATTTTACAGCAAAACGTAGTCAAATAATACAGAATTTCGTACTAATAAGCGACAGTAGCGTAATGGCAGGGCGCGGACCGCGAACTCAAAAAGGTCGTGGGTTCGAATCCACCATTCGACTACTGTCGTGAACCACTCGTAACACAAGCAATTTAAGCTTACCACGAGTGGTTAAAGGGGAATATTAGTAATGTTTACAGCATTGTTAATATTCTTTATTTAAAAAAAGGTTCACTGCGTTATCCTTAGTCTTAGTATGGGTTTCAAAAGAAATCATAACTGTGTTTGTTTAATCGACACTTGGTTTGTGTTACGGGACGTACACAGAGGGCACTGTTACGATAGTTATTTTATAATAGAATAAGGATGCCAAACGAGCACATAGTCCACCTGATGGTAAGTGAATGTTGGGCCTATAGATATCTACATTTATCCTCGATTAAAAATCAAAATGCAGATGCGTCGTCACCCCTGTGGACTAAGATAGAACCCCTCGTTTCCAGTAAAAAGGGTTGCCGGTTCACTACACTCAACACTAGCCTTAAGCTGTTATTCTGTGAGAGCGTGATCCCACCCGGTCGAGCCGAGCCATTCGTGCTACAACTATTATAGCTGCAACGTCGCTCTACCACGTAAAGTAGTACAGTGAGATAACAGTGGCACCGCGTTCTGCCTTCTCTTTTGTCGCTAGATCACAACTACCAATAAACCGATTACGAAGGTATTACCTGTATTTCTCTCTGCTTCTTCATTCATCCATCATTCATTAATTAAATATAGCCAATCAAAAGTCTACTGCTGAATGTAGAGGGAACATTTGCTATAGCTTCTTCTCTTAGCAAGTGGTTTGGCAACCGCAATTTTTTATTGTTTTGAGTTGTTATCATGAAGATACTGTTTCCTATCTCGCTTTTCATTTCTCTTTGTCGTCTTTTACGATACTCACGGGATGATATGGGGTCTTAGAGCTTCTGAGTACATATTATTTGTGGTGAGTACTTCTGAATACATATTATTTGGTAGGATGTAGTGAATTCTTTTACGCCATCGCTAAAAAGCATTATCAAGATCCTGCCTTACTTTCATGATTTAGAAATATTTTCATCCAAGCAGATCACTGACTTTTATATATACGCTGGACTGGCTATACCATACAAAATGTCTGTGCCAATTTGAAGCGCCACTATTTGTCGTCTTGAGAACTAAACTTGACATAATATGCCAAAGTCAATTGTCTTATTTAAATTGTCTTATTTCAAAAAAATCTGTATTTTGAACTTTTAAACTAAAAAACTAAAGTATTTTATGTTGTTTGCTTGTGTATAATTTTAGTTCCATAATAAGAATTATCTTTGATAATAATAAGAGTGTGCGTAATCTGTAAAACTCGTTACCAAAAGGGAAGTGGTATAACATTTCACAGGTAAGTGAATTTGCAGCTAATACTAAACAAATTAAAACTAAAATTTGTTACTAATCTTAACATCATAATTACCAACATGTTTGGCTGTATATTACTGAGTTTTGATAAACAATAAAATTCAATAGGGTTGTCGAGTTCCTTGTCTATAATACTTATCGATGTGTTTTCCTATCCATATCTGTTAACTAACAAAGTCGCCAACAACAGATAATTATCAAATGTTTGTTAATTAATAGATTTCCAACTAAACTTGATGAGACTAAAATTATGGCTTAAAATCATAAATATTGTGAATTGACGTCCGAAACAAAATGATCATCTTTGTTCAAAACATTTCACAGATGACTGTTTTATTAGACATGAGAACTGCACCACTTTGAAAAAGTACAGTATACCGACATAATTTTCGGATAGTACCAGTACCATTAAGTATAAATGTATTAGATTATTATTTCGAATGTTTTTTTATTTCTTCTCCTCTCAATTCCCCCCAAACTCAAGGACCATAGCCAAGTGTAGAAAGGTCGCCTGATGATGTTGAGCCACGTCGGATGTGTGCTAGTGGGCAACGGCTAGAGGAGATTCCTCTCCCTGTACCGCTGTAGTCGAGGTAGAGTCGAAAGGGAAGAGGAGTGTTGGTATGGCGATTGGCGATGCGCCATGCTATCCTCCGCGACTTTGGTGGGGCTGCACCACTTAATGCTTCCAAGTGCTCGTTTTATTCTGGATCCATTCACATATTGGGCTTGGGGAGGCCGTAGTGCAAGTGGAGTTAGAGGCCACGAAGGGCAGTGTGCCTTGTGTTTCTAGTGCACCTTATCTGAAAAGGAAAACGGGGAGGAGAAGTCTGCAACTAAGGAGGGGCTTCCATTTAGGCGGCTCGCTCTGGTGAGGCCACGGATGTGCATGAAAGCGTTTCCGTGGCCCTGCCAATTTGCGCTGGAGGTAGAACGTTTTCAAGCTACTGGACTAGAAAGGATACGGTATTAACTTCAATGGCGTGGACGTCACTCACCTTCGATTTACCATCGTTATAGTCTTTATGGCAGAATCGCTGGAGGACATAAGCACTATGCAGGGCCCCCGCTACCGTATGTGCAAAGTGTGCAATGCACACGGGCGCCATCCTTTAGTGGCGCCAAAACCCAGGGTCAAAAATTTCAAAAATTTCTAACAAAACAAAAACAAATTTTAATTTTAAAATAAAAGTTGAGAAATTAAATAGGATTAGGTATAGATACACACGAAATTTTATTAGTATATCATCCAGTTACTGCCGATTCCTACGTTGCGAGAATATGTCAAGCGGTAGTTTCTAGATTTTACTGTTTAAACATGAACAATGCCCCGAGCGCTATAAAAGCGATGCATCGCTAGAGGCGTTTTTGCGCCCTCCTTTCTGCCAAGAAGGGTCGCGTTCGTATACGGTTTAGAGATCTCCAGTTAGACCGTTAAGCCAGTCCCTAAAAGGCGGTGTTTAGTGGGTAAAAGTCTCCACATAACCACGCAGCCGGCTGCGTGGTATGCTATGAGCATTCACCGC